TGTTGGGTATAAAGTTTTCTTTAACAAAAATATTTGCACAATGTCAAATCTCTTTTATCAATGCGTATTAACAAATTAATATTGTAAGGATATGAAATTATCCTATAGATTAGTGTTTAAAGTTAATTAATATTATAAGGATATGAAATTATTCTATAGAGTAGTGTTTTAAAGTTAATTGCATGTGAGTGCAATATTTTTTAAATTCTGCGTATTTATATTTAATAAATAAATTGTGTATTTTACGGGTACACAACATACCATTTTCTTTTTCCATAACAAAGTATACAATATTTTTAACATCGTGGAACTTATCAACTACTTTATTTAGTGGATAACTCTGCACGTACTCGATAATGGACTGGATAACTGTATTTAGTGGACAACTTTGCCCAACTATACAGAAGTTGTTGAAAGTAATTAACTTGGTGGTTATTATAAAGATCACATTTCCCATCAAAACCCTTCACATAAACATGGACAGGTGGTTAATGTTTGAGTATGCCCAGGTATTTTTCAAAAGTTTATTTTATGTATGGTGAATGCAATGATTTTATTTTACTAAATTTACGTATATAAGTTAACATATTTTGTCCTATATCAGCTTTTGTTTAGGGATAAGCATATTCTTCTATGGAGAAAATTCAGTTAAAGGTATTTTCAAGGAAGGGGCTGTTTAAAATGAACTCGTGTTGTCATGTCTCACGGAATATAATGTTGTTGTCCATAATATAGCTAATTGGGTGGTTGTTTTATATGTGATTGTTCATATTCCATTTTTGCTTGGGTTTCTTAATTAACTTGATGAATTTTATGGTGCTGCTTAGTTATGAACATGAAAAGATTAAAAATATTAAAACCAATATATAAACCTTTAGAAACAAATGCAACAATGAATATAAAGAGGTATTAAATAACTTATAATTTTGTTTATTTATGATTTATACTTTGTTCCTTGACTGACGCCATGTTTTTTTTAATATATCCCAAACCATACTAGTTTCACAAATAGAACAGGTCCCAACATGTTTATCTCTTTCGGACGGGGTACATGTAAGAACAAAAATGAAATTTCAGAGGCATTTAACTTCTTGCATTCTATGTTAATTATGCAACTTTTTGACACTTACACTGCTAAATTTAATTACTCTGTAACTTTATCCCCTAATGTCAAAAGTATAAGCACTCTGCTTCTCGGCTTATATTATTTGAACACTTTCCAAAATCATTAGTCATTGGAACACTCTTCACCGGTTCTCGAGCGTGTTTATCCTATTCTTCAATTGCTAAGGCTAAGGGTTTGAGCAGCTTTCATGATATTTGTAGTACTGTAAAAAGCAATATTCAATTGTTAAGACTAAGGGTGTGAGCGTGTTTTTCCTATTCTTGCCTTCCATTTTAGTTTTTCCCTACTGGATGTAATACAACCATATTAACTAATATAGGTCTAAGGTAAGTACTATTGTAACTTAAAAAGAAGGCTCTCCAAAGAGCTGATTAAAAGCCAAGGTGAATCCATGCAGGTAACTTTTTCTATATAAATACATACCCTTTCAAGAATATACTGTTCCTCGACAGGCAACCGTGTATTGGTGTTGTTTCTCCCGCTGACTATTTCGATAAGAAGAACCCCAAAACTGTAAATATCCGCCCGCCGTGTCAGCTGGCCTCTAATTGCATATTCGGGTGCCAAATATCCTCTGTTTTAACCATAATAAAATTCAAGTCACTACTACATAAGCAGAATGAAAGCAAGACATTTATTGACACATTAGTTAATTCGCTTAATGTTCACTGTTGCTATTACAACACTCAGACAAGGAGCGTGGCCTAAAATTCAGCATTAGAGACTCGTACCAAAAAAGTAATTAAGTTGGGGAAAATGTTTTTTTTTTTTTTCTAGAAAAGGAATTACTATTTGCCAGACATTCTGAATTAAAATCAAAATAATTCACAGCAAGCAAATGAAACTCCATGCCTAGAGAAGTTTCTAGATTAAATTATGAAGGAAAAAAGTAACCAAAAATGCACACTCACATGGTTCCCGCAACACGTGTACTGACATGAGTCAAGTTAGCAGGCATGAGCTTGGCCAGACCAAAATCCGAGATTTTTGGGGTCAAATCTTTGTCAAGAAGAATATTACTTGCTTTGATGTCTCGGTGGACAATATGCGGCCTGACTTCCTCATGAAGATACGCAAGCCCCCTTGCAACTCCAATGCAAATTTTAACTCGCGTCCGCCAGTTAAAGTATATATTGCCGTGCCGTCCACCTAGAATGAATATAGTTTCACAATATCAACCTAACTGAGCAGTAAATCCAAGAAGATTTGGTACAGATTGTACAGCAAAAGCCTCTTAGTATAATTAGTAACAGAACAAAAATCTTTTAGTTATTTTATGTTCAGCTTATATATTCTGTGAAGATAGGCACTCCAAGAGGAATACGTGTCCGAGTAATTTCTAGTCGCCATTCATAGTGGGATAGTAACCCAAGTTTTGTGGTATTTAGATAACAAACCAGTTAACATTGGAAATTACCAATACCCTTAAGTTTGACTGCTTACATTATATCACAAATTCACAATTGATACTTAGTGGAATTTGTTGATGTTATGTAGTTACTATGGTACTCCTCAACTTCTCAAAATATTCTATATAGCCACAAATTCAAATCCAGAAATTAATTCCGCAACATTCAAAGGATATTACTATGGATATAAGATGAAAAGTTTGGGTTATTCGTAATATTTTAAAAAGTTAAGAGATGTATTTGTAAAAACGTTTATGAAACCATAAATATCCTTTAGCTCCACTAACAACAAATGCAATATGTAAGGCAAAAGTAATCTTGACTCTTAATAATTTTAATTTAGCTGCCTCTTTTCATAATTTGGCCAAAAGGCTGGTTTCTGTTGTTTACCCTCATTTCATGTCACATAATTTCCATGAGCAAGATTGAAAAGAAAAAAGAAATAAAAAAATTATGTCTCAACTTGCATATACTACAGCAAGGGACAAAATAGTACAATGACTACTATAAAATTTGCAATTCATATACGGTAAGATGAATACCAAGAAGTGTCTGTGCCAGACTGTTATTCTCTAGGTAGTTGTAGACGAGAATCCTTTGTTTGCCTTCCACACAACACCCATAGAGCTTCACTAAATTTACATGATCGACATCCGAAATCACTTGAATCTCTGTCAAGAACTCTCTTACTCCTTGTCTCGACTCAGAGGATAGAACCTTAATAGCTGCCATCTGTCCATTCCTGAGTTTTCCCTATTCATTACAATATTCAGAAATTCTGTAGTCAACTCCAAAATCCAGAAGTTATCTACATGTAGCAAAAATTTACCTTGAAGACAGAACCAAATCCCCCTTCTCCAATTTTATTTGCTGGACTAAAGTCCTCGGTAGCAATTTTCAGCTCCTTGTACGAGTAAAGATTAACGTTGTGGACCCCTGAGAGCTCTGTATATAATTTAGCTACATTACTATCGACAAATTACAAATAATGAACTTATACTCAAAAAAAAAAAAAATGTATAACATTATTAATACCCACTTGAGGTTTTTGTTATAGGAATAGACCCTGGAATAGGTTCAATTGGTATAATATAAGCAAATAATCTTGCATCAAGGAGATATTCAGTAATTCTGAAAGTATAACCAGGGATTTTTAATAATGAGGTTACAGTTAAAGAGATCAATTACGAGCAGAGAATTATGGTTTTTTACCATCTTCCAAGCCAGGATGACTGGTTGATGAATCCAATCTTCTGCCACATAAGAAAGATAGGCAGGTCATAACTCCTGGTATTGTCCAGCAATCAAACAGGGTGAAAGCAAATAGGGTGTAAACACTGCCATAAATATAAATAAAGAAAATGAAAAAAGATTGTGGTTAGTTATAAATCAAAGAACTTAATAGTCTGGACTATAGCAGATTAAGGGTGAATTTTGCAAATGAATATGGTGAGTTAGAGAACATGAAGTAGTGTTCTTCGTAATCAAGTGACTAGTAAATGTAAAAGAAACATAACGATGCTCTGCATACAAAATCATTGTTTGAAACAGATTGCATGTTAGCAAGTAAATGCCTTACTGGTATAATATATGGAGCTATTATACAAATCATAGTAATCTCAATTTAAACATTGTAAGTAGTTTGTGAAGTTCCAATGTTATATGTGCGCCATTTTCGGGTGAAAAAAACATGTCACTTATTTAATATGCGACAAAACCAAACTTGGATCATCAAAGTTCACATTTCTCTCTCGGAAGTCCATCACAATGTACTACCATACCAGACAAATTATCCTGCTCCATTTCGTATGCTATCTCATATCCCAACTACATGGCTTCAACACACACACATAAGATGATGCCCATTATTTATCATAAGCGTGGCGAAGGTAATCAACATCAAAACAAGTAAAAAACAGACGTTTGAAAACATAACAAATAAATCAACGAACTACGGTCACGAACAATACACGTCATCAGATCCATGTGATATTACTTTTGACATCTGATATCAAAGAAACTAACTAAAATCCTCACGATTCAAGGCCTCATCAACACCCCCCCTTGTGAAGGAGCTTCGCAACATGCTTCACAGTTCAGCCACTTTAGTAAAGTGCAAACAAGGTGAGAACGTTAGGAAATTCGGTCAAGGAAAGTTCCAACAGATGTAACAATCAAAGAACCTGACCTCCCCCACAAGATTTTTAATGAATGTTATCGGTATTGCTCGATTATCCTCTCAACCCGAAACAAAACAGAGATATGAACACAACAAAAGTAACTAATTCCTGCATAATTGAGATCCTAAAGAAAAATTGGGGAAAAGCAAAGTGAATTGCGTGGATTATATACACTCGAACAAACTAAGTTCATCAGATCACACACATAATAATGTTCAAAGGAAAGCAACAACCACCATCTATAATCATACTCAGAAAATCAGACATGCGAATCAGCTGGGTTTATTTCAAAACCCCCAAAAAAGGTAAAGAAAAAAAAAAGTGAAAAACCCAGGTGAGAAAAGGCACCTGAAACTAAAACCAGACGAGCAGCCAAAATCTTGGGATATGAAAAGCAGAAGTCTGCAGATTTGGGCAAATTCAACTAAGCTGCAGAATAAAGCAAGTAATAATAATTGTGAAGAAGAGGATAAGAGGCTATAAATTCTCCCGAGCTAAAAGTCTCAGCAGCAGAAGATGCCGCAAGAACTTGGAAATTTCAGGACCTAAATAAAACTAAACACGGTAGGGAATTCAATTAAGTACACTTTCAAACCTCAATCAATACACAGACATATGTTACCGTCTCGGGAATCATTCTGTCGGGTTTATAATCGTTCATCATGTAACCCTCAGTTATAAATCCCGGCAAAATAATTTCGTAATGGGACCGTAGTATTTTTCCAATACTTTACGAAAGGGCAAAAAATTTATTTAAAAAAAAAAACACAAAAAAAAACTAATAATAATAATAAATGAGGACATATTACGAAATATTCAAACTGCATATTGACAATTTTATGAAATTTTGGGATTAGTAATGTTTTTCTTCCACTTTGTCAAACTACCAAAAAACCTTGCGCTCTTTGAACTTTGAAATATATATAATCACCCTTATATATAATTTCGAATACGCTGAGCCTAAGTGGTAAGTCCGCATTCTTCGGAATCTTATGTGTCAAAATTTCATGCTTCATTGTTCGCAAATACTTAGGTGTGTCCTGGCACACCTTGCTATGTGTGCCAGAGCCTTTTGTGAAATACATCCTCCTCAAAAGCGCGTGAGGTAAGGAGGTAAGAATTTTTTTTTTAAATGAGACATGTGTCCCATTTCTATTGGGCAATGAAATTAATATATCATATTATATAAATTAAATCATCATTCATATTTTGTATCAAAAAATAAAAATAAAAATACCAAAATTCATAATTTTTCATTCTCTACAAATAGAGACCACATTTGATATTTTTTGAAACACAATTAATTTATCATTTTTTACAATTAATTTATCTTATTGGAAGATTATGACATAAATCTATAATTAGATGAATATGTTACATAGTAAGATGAACATGTTATAGAGTAAGATGAACATGTCATAAAATAAGATGAAAATGCTACATTTTCACAAATGAAATTTAGATGAACATGTTCTAAAATAAGATGAACGTGTAACATAATAAAATAACATGTTATAAAATAAGATGAACATGTTACATAATAAAATGAACATGTTATAGAATAAGATGAACATGTTACATACACAATAAGGTGAAACATGTTACATAATAAAATGAACATGTTATAGAATAAGATGAACATGTTAAGTAATAAAATGAACATGTTATAGAATAAGATGAACATGTTACATAATAAAATGAACATGTTATAGAATAAGATGAACATGTTACGTACACAATAAGGTGAACATGTTATAAAATAAGATGATTATGTATTATTTCAATCTGCAATCTGTAACATGTTCATCATATTTGAAAACATATTCATTTTATTATGTAACATGTTCATTATATGCCAGTATAATAAATAATTACGAAAAATTATGAAAAAACGAAAAGTTAGTTGTGTTAAAAAACCTATCAAATGTGATCTCTATTTATAGATAATGAAAAATTATGAATTTTGGTATTTTTATTTTATTTTTTTAATATAAATAATTAATGATATTTTAATTTATGTAATATGTCTCATTTTTCAATTAAAAAAGGAAAAATAGGAATGTGCACTACACTCTCCAAATTTTCTTGTTTTTGGGGTAAGGGAGGCGCGTGCAAATCTGCCCTAGCACACCTAGCTAGGTGTGCCAGGGCACACGGTAGTGCTACTGTTCATTGTTTGGCTTGGATAGCTTTTAATTTAATTTTAATTCCAAAATAATTAGGTTTGGATTACCATAAATATATTGATTTATTTATGATTATTTTAAAAGTTAATAACTTTTGTATTTCTTATCGGTTTTACATATATAATATATCAAATTAATCGTTTTTTGATGAGTTACGATTTGACATCCATTTTGTATATATAAAATAAATAAATTATATTTATGTTTATAATAATAATAAAATTATTTACTAAAATTAATTAAAAAATAAAATTATTTCTCAACTAATATATTTATGTTTAATGTAGTTATATGTTATAAATTAGAAACATTATCATAATATGACACATGTAAGTCACACAAGTAACAAGTGTCTAAAATATATAATAATATATATATTTTTATAAAAACTATTTAAATTTTCAACCACTTTTTTCTCATTAATTTTAAATTTTAAGAAAAAGATTTAACAAACACCCGTGTAATACACGGGTGTTGTACTAGTTGGTTGTTTAAACTTGTACCTCTAACTATAGGAAAATGCTACGGTATCGTTACGGAACTATTTTGTCGGAGTTTGTAATCGTTAGATCAATTATCTCTGACGGTTACATGATGATCTAACGGTTACAAATTTCGACGAAATTATTCCGTAACAAGACCTTAGCATTTCCCCTAACCATAATATGGTTGGGAGGGCATTTTTGGAAACCCATAAATTAGTTCTTTTTTTTTCAAACATCAACAAAAGAAATATATAAAACTTACATGTACATGTTACGAGTAACCAACTAATTACGAATCAATATGTTTAACCCCACAGAGGTTAAGAATAAAGATATTCTTTTTTTTAGAAACGATAGATTTTATAAACAATAAGCAAATAGTTTTAAGGCTAAGAGCCTTTACAGACAGAGGAGAGGAACTCCCAAATATTACAAAGAGAGAGAGACCTCATTTACGGCAAAGAGAAAAGCTTTGAAACCTGTAAGTGGTAATTAATACAAATCCCATTTTTATTGCTAACAAATTTGAAGATTCTTATACCAAAAAATTGAGATTTTGAATTGAGATATCCCAACACTTACGGATTTTTTTTTTCATTTAAATTAATGTTTCAAATCAAACAAAAAACATTGTTCCGAGAATAAATGTTATATTAAATATTGATAAACTCCAATCCTCCATTAATTATTTATATTTATGAATTTTGTGTGTAAATATATTGATTTACTTTCTTGAATAACTAGTACGTACCCCGTGCAATGCACAGACTGTATTTATTTTGGTAAAATTTATAATTGAAGGCTATCAATAAGTTATAATACATAGAACATTTGTTAGGTAATCGTAAAATGAGCATCATGAAAAAATCATACATTATTAAAAAGTTCTTTGTTTTTCCATTCAAAATTATTTTTCACTTGGTAACCGTAAATTGATATTACCAAGATTGCTTTCCACTTGGTAATTGTGAATTGCATAGAAACCTCTTCATTTTTTTGTTGATTTTCGGAATGCTACCACCATGAAATAAAACTATAGTAAAAGTATGTAATATTGTGATAGATACTAAAGATATGATTATTTGGTGAAGTTTAATTTTATATCGAGTATAAGGAAAATTGTTACCTTAAAGTTAAAGTGTGGATTTTGAGTATATCTTTTTTTTTGTCAATCATTCTCATTTTTATGCCAAATTCATTTCAAAAATTGAGAACGATTCTATTTTGTTATATTTTAACAGATATTTTGGAATTTTGGTTGTATATTTTGTAAAACATATTTATAAAAATAATTACGTTTAGAAAAAACAACAATGATATTTTATCATTTGTAGATAAAAAATAACTAATGAATCGGAATACATGTAAATCACAGTTTTTAAATGAAAAAATATGTTTAATAAAAAAAGTGATAAGAAAATGATTCAAACTGATAAAAAGAAAATCGTATATTATAACAAAAAGATGTTTACATGAGTAGTTGATTAGTGAATCGAAAATTGTGGCAATTTTAAAAAAACATGTTACCATTATTGAAATGAAATCTTTAGAATATTGTTTACTTTTAGTTAAGTTGCATATATTGCATAACTATATAAGAAAAAAATAAAATATTTAAAGTTCAAATAGGCGATTTATTTATATGTGTATAATAAAGTGTACAGTCCAAATAATTAAATATTATTTAGCATTTATATTGTTAATATTGATACCGTGATTATTGTAAAGTCCAACTCTCATTTTTACGGTAAATTTATGTTATATTAAAATGAATTGATAAGTCTAAAAAGAGATATGGATTGGATTAAAAAGATTGAATCTAAATATCTTGATATCATAATTATATTGTTTTTAAAAAGATATTCCATAACATTTGGTTCCATAATAATACTGCTTTTAAATATAATTGATTCCAAATAACCGGATTTAGTGTTTAATCAAATATTATGGAATATCTTTTTACAAAGATCTAATTATTAATTTATTTGTTGTTTCTTATTTATATTTTATTTTTATTTTTGTCAATTGACAATATTATGTTTGATCACATTGTGCACGCAGATAATTTTTTAGATACAAAGTTGTGAACTTAACAAATATCTTATGTGGTTCACAATCCATATAAACAATTGACATTTGTCAAAATTTATGTGATAACAATATTTATGCATTGTGCATGCTCTTATTTTGTTTTAAATAATTTCAAATATACTTCTATCCATTCCAAATAAAATTCATACTATTTAAATTCGTACATTTCATACCAAAAATAAGTCACCCACTTTATACCAAAAAAATAGACATTTATTATTAAAAACACGTTTTCTATGAAAAGATAAAAATGGCTATCAGATACTTAAAATAAATCATCAACTTTATACCAAAATAGATTTATTAATTTTGTCAACTTTATACCATTAATTAATTAAGTATTTTCTAAAAGTCATATCTACATTTTGTCCAAAATATTTTTTAGCG